ATGGCTTGGGTCAGGCACACCTTAGTCCTCAAAGTAACATCCATGCTAGTAACATTCTAAAGAGGTCGTGTGCAGTTGATTTACCCAATGCGATTCGTCCTTTGATCTTGTCTGCTACTTTGACAATCATTGAATTGTGGATCCAAGTAAGACAAAGTCCTTGACAACTTCAGCCTTTTCTCCATTTATCATGACATTACTTCTTGGTCCAGTGGTGAGGGTTTTGGCCGTCCTTACACGGAGTTGTAGTGCACACTGAAGGCTACAATCCTTGATCTTCATCAGCAAACACTTCGGTTCCTCCACACTTTCAGCCAGCAAGTTCATGTCATCTGCACACCGCAGGTTGGTAAAAGCCTGCCTCCAACCTGATGCCACACTCTTCTTCATATAATCCAGCTCCTCTGATGACTTGCTTGGGGTAGGTGGCGTGAATCTGGACGCTATCCCTCTAGGTCTTGCTGGTGCTTTGGTTGGTTCGCCCTTGGACTCATCCCCCAGAAGCCGACCCTGAGACAAGACCTTGAGGGCAGGTGGAGTGTCCTGGCTGGTCCCCAGGGAACTCTAGTTTGGAGCGGGGATGCAGGCAGGGAGCAACAGAGACTTGCAGGGGGGCACCAGAGAGCAACTGATGAAATTGGCGACCAGTCCTGAGCACACACCTCCTTGAGGTCCCACTCAGAGAGGCAGGGGTGAAGGGTCCTGGGTCATACTCCTGAAGGGAAACCCCACCAGGCTTGAGCAGTGGTGGGACTGAATGCTGAGCTACAGACTGGGTACTGACAACCTTGACTGTCCCAGCAGACTCCTTCACACCAGATATCAGTGACCATGCAGGAGCCTGCCCCAGGACATTCACGTCAACGTAATCAGCTTTAAAAAGGGGACAGTGATTCGCATTACCAGCGAGGGGAGGCAGGTGAGCATCAGGTGAGGCTGGATCCAGCAGCTCAGTGTCACCAGCTTCCACCAGCCACACCACTCCCTGCTGGGTCTGCTGCTCCCTGGGGTTGGGTTGGCTCATGTCTGCAGTCACAGGACAGCCCTGAGGACAGGCTGGGCTGCAGTCTCTTCCACCGGAACCAGCCAGAGAGAGGGGGAGGTGGGGTACTTCTCTCACCTTCATATGATGAGGGGTGGGGGTGTCCCCTCTGGGAAGCAGATCTGGGGCTGGCTCATTGCATGACAGCTGTGGTTCACCAAAACCCTAGGTGCTGACCAGTGAGGGGTCAGTCAGTAGACTTGATCTTGGTCTCCCTCCCCAAACATGGCAGGTCTGTGCATAACAGGGCGCAGTTTACCGGAATCTCAGCCAGGGGGCCGTGGCGTGGAGTGGAGCCCATGGGCCTGGAGGACAGCCACCTCCACTGGTGGCTGCCCCTGCCTGCAGCCCACTGAGAACCTGAGGCTCCTTCTCCAGCCTTGGCCACAAGAAAGCACTGTGGAGGCCTAATGGAAGGGCACCCACCATAGGCCAGCCCCCACACATGACAGGTACAGGCGGGAATAGGGCAACAGAGGCTCGACTCCACAGAACAGACTCGTGATTTCTGAAAACGTCACTCCTGGTTTCTGGAGGCTGGGGGTCAAGGGGTCGAGGGAGTGAGGAGGCAGGGGCGGGGCAGGGCGGGTTGGAGCTGAAGGAGAGACGTGAGTAGAAAAAGTGATTTTAATTTTTATTAAATATACTCTCTTGACACAAATCTTTAAAATATAGACATTCTATATAAACAAAGTGTCTTCATGGCAACAGAAGTGTTACCCCGGAGAAGGGGCGGGAGCAGCAGCGGGGCCCAAGGGTGGCACTGCCAGGACTCTCCATGGGACCGCATGGCCAGAAGCCTCACCTGCCCTCCTGTCTTGCCGGGCACCCCCTGGGCACCCCCTACCCGTCCACCCGGCCTGGGGTCCCCAGGCCCCTGCCTCTTAAGCACTGGGTGAGCGAGGGTTAGGGGGTGGTAAAGGGCTGCCCCCCCTTGTTACCCCAGACTGTCTGGGCTGCTGGGGACCCCAGGGTAAGGCAGGCAGATAATGGAGAGGAAGAGGGGCTGTCACACCTGCAGGTCAGAGAGCCGTGCCAAGGGCAGGGTGTGTACAAGTCATGTGTGGTAATGCCTGGCTGATTCCAGACATAGAATCAGCCCTCTGCTTGCGGGCACACCACCCCAGGTGAGGCGGAGGCACCTCCTGGGTCACCATGTGGGAAAGACCAGGTCAAAAGCGCAAAGGCCATTAGGAAAGAGTTGTTGCCTGAGATGACCCAGACTGCGCCAGGCTCGACCCCCCTGGGGACAAGCCTTCCTGGGGCGCGACCAGCCACAGACGCCCAGGGCCATGATGCCTACACACAGAGGGCTGGGTCTGCGTTGAGCTTCTGGCCAATGGCGAGTGGAGCTCAGAGCCAGGGTGGGTGGGCAGCCCAGGGTACCTGGGATACCCCCACCTTCTCCAGCTACCCTCGCTGTGGAAACTGGGGTCTAGCCAAGAGGGACACACACGGGGCCAAAGAGTCGCCACTACATAGTAAATATAGAGCAGGGCTCCGGGCTGTTGATATGGCAGCGAAAGCTGGGCTCCAGACTGGGGAGGGCAGTGCCACCGCTGGAGGCCAGGCCCCTCCCCCTGCACTCATCTCCACAATGCCCCCTGGCTCAGAGCCAACAGGGGTGGCAGGGTCTGGCTCTGAGCTTATGTGCTTAGAGGGGTCACAGGCCCTGTAAATGCACAGCCCCTGCAAGGGCCCCACGGAGCCCCTCCCCCCACTGCACTCTGGGCCAATGGGGTGGAGGGGACTGGGGCTCCTGGCTCTCTGGGGCTTGGAAACCAGGGCTGGGGCATGTGCGCGAGGAGCCCTAATGCTGCAGGTGCTCCAGCAGAATCTGCATGAGGTCAAAGGTGGTGAAGCTGATGCCCACGGCGATGGGGCCCTTGAGCCAGTTCATGCTCAGGCCCTTGTAGAGGCCGCGGACGGCGCCCTCCTCGTGCACGATGGTCCACATCGTGCGCATGATGGAGGCGCGTGGGTAGCCCATGACGCCGGCTGTCTGCATGCGCCGCCGCACCACGTCCAGCGGGTAGGAGGCTGACTGCCCGATGATGCCGGCGCAGGCCCCAAAGATCATGCGCTCCATGGGGTAGGGCTGCCGGTGGCCACTGTACTCTAGGGGGAGGGGGGGGGCGGTTGTGACAAGTGGGCGTGAGCATGGAGAGGGTGTGGTTCCTCCATCCCACCAGGGTGCAGGTGTGCCCGGGCACCATGCCCACTCCTCACACTCAGTGCCTTTGCGGCAATGCCCGCTCAGAGCGACCCTGCAGGACAGAGGCAACCGCCCTGTGGTTTCCCAGACCGAAACTCTTCACAGGAGTACAAAGCCTCATCTTTCTCCCTCGGATACGCTGGTGGATTCAAACTGCTGACCTTGCAGTTAGCAGCCCCACGGATCGCCCATCAGGCCACCAGGGTCCATTCCCTTTCCTCCTGAATTCAATCCTTTAAAACCAAATTCCAGAAGTAGAGATGCTGGGGAATCGCAGAGACTCTCGGGACAAGGCCCGCGTGGCCAGAAGGAGCCCGTGCGTCTAGTCCCGGCAGTTCCAGCTACTGGAGCGCTGCAGGCGTGGACAGTAGTAACCCAGTGCTATGGCTTCGTCAACTGTAACAACGCACCACACACACGAGACTGCAATCCCAGAAGCAGCTGGGCCAGGGGGACTTGCTGGGCAATCCGTCCCTAAACTTGATGATGCTGCTGTTGCTGGGTGCTATTGAGTTGGTTCCGACCCACAGTGAAAATAAGAGTGCATTAAAAAAACCTCAACTATAAGTACAGATCACCAGATTGGCAGAACAACAGCCAGGCAGCCGAGGATGTGGAGAAAGGTCACAGGGCACTCCCATTGCCGGAGTGACTGCTGTGCGTGCGAGGGGCACAGAGTGACCGTGCGAGAAGCAGCAGTCTGGAGCTGGCCAGGCCCACAGCCAGGTGATACAGCCCAGCTGAGGGTTGCAACATCTCCAAACCCATGCCTCCCCGCCCCAGGTGGTGCACAGGCCGGCTGAGGTGCCTAAGAGTAAAGGCCTGGTGCTCTCCCTCCCCCCAGGGAGCAGCTCTATTCCCACACCTGGAGTCGCCGTGAATCAGAAGTGACGTGGCAGCAAGTGAGTCCACAGCTGTGAGAGAGGAGCATCAAACCGCTGTGTCCTTCCAAGGTAACCTAGCCTCCGGGAGGGGGGAGATTCCTGATCGCCATCTCTGCTGAGGGACATACTTATGTCTGGCGAGAGCAGGGACCGGGATGGTCACACACGAGGCCAAGGCCAGGTGAGGAGGCAGCTGCACTCCCTGGGGCCCCTGGAGCTGGAGGCAGTGGGAGGTGCCAAGGCGGTTCTCGAGACCCGGCCGCGCCTGAGCACTATGCCAGCCCCGAGGGAAGTGGTGCCCGCAGGCCCACACCAGGTGACCCTGTGTGCCGCCCTGCACCTGTGAAACGCTGCCATGTCCCACCCAAGGGCACACGTGCTGAGAGACACTGTACACCGCCGTCGGGGGTGGCGGCCAAGAGGGGACAGCCGGGAGGGGCCTGCAGCATTTTGTAGATTTCTTAAGAAAAAGGCCACCTTGAAATAACTGGGCCCCCCCCATGGTGGTGACTGGCCGACTGCAGTGCCCCCACACTTCTGCCCGTGCCTCGGTGTGGACATCCCCAAGGGCATTTCCTGCATGCGGCCTGCACACTTCATGCACGTGGCCGAGTCTGGGTCTGGGCACGTGAGCCCGTGTGTGAGCAAGCACGTGGGTTAAGTCCAGCCTGTGTGCCGCACAACGCCCTGGAAGATGGGGGGTGGCTTTTAAAAGGCTTTGAATGCCCAGGCCCCCGCGGTGGAGACGTGGCCCGGTGGGGGCCCCTCACCTCTGTGCAGGCTCTTGAGCGTCTCGTAGGTGAAGAAGCTGAGGCCCGCGTACGGGATGACGCCCAGCAGGGTGGGCGTGAAGCCGTGGTAGAGGGTCTTGAGTCCCTCCTCTCGGGAGATGCGGATGAAGACGTGAAAGATGTTGCTGTACCTGCAAGGTAAGGGAGCCGCTCGCCAAGGGGCCTTCCACGGACAGCCGGTGGGGACCCTGCCGGTGGGGACCCTGCTTCTCTGCTGCCCGGTCCTCCAGGCACTGGACCTGTGGCAGTGTGGACATGTCCCCTCTGGGGTCCCTGGCACTGAGCAATCGCTAGGGAACCAGGGGCCACACCTGAGGACATTCCTGTGCTGCCCCTCCACTCCCGAGCCCCAGCCGGGCAGCCCAGGGGTCCCCCGTGGACTAAAGTCAGAAGTCTCACTCACATACACTTGACAGAAAGTAACCACAGATCCCGGGCACCAGCCAGGGGCACCCGCTCACGGTGCTTCTTCTCCGGCAGCCACAGAGGCCCAGACCCACCCTGGGGGCCTGGGAAGGGGCTCCCATCTCTAAGGGACACCGCCCCTCCGGACTCACATCTCCTTTGGAGTCACGGCCATCCGAGCTCGGACCAGGTCCAGTGGATAGGTCAGCGAAGTGGCCGTTGTCCCAGCCAGTGCCCCCGCGAGGAACCGGGGCCAGGGAGGCAGGGCCCTGTGGTGGAAGGGGGAGGGCAGTGAGGTTAAGACCCCGAGAATGAGGGGCAGAGACAGAGACAAAGAAGGGGAGAGAGACAGGGAGAGCAGGTGAGGGGGACAGAGACCCAGAGGCCTGGCTGGGGGGGAGGGTGGGAAGTCAGGTGACACTTTGTGGTGGTGGTAGGGGGCCTGGTCTTCCCTGGCTGGGGCCCTGTGGGGCCAAGGTGGGCCACAGAGTAGGGCTGGGGAGGGGGGAGAAGGGGGCCAGGGAGGGGCAACTCACTTTCCAGGGAAGACACAAGGCCTGAGCACCTGCTCATTTGCTAAGCAGGGAACGGAGTGGGTGGGTGGGTTGTAGGATGGGG